TATGTTCTCTACTCCCCCCAACCCAAGCTGGGGAAGCTGCTAAATGCAGAGACAACTCTGTATGCAAAGAATTGCCAAGTCAACCCACTCAAGAGGGAAACCATGCCTGGTACTGCAAACCTACCCAACTACTCGGTGCTAGTGAAGTCACAGATCTTGAAGGAGAACCTACAACCACTAATTTACTAAACCAGCACAATCTCGACAACAATCTCAACATTTGCCCCTCTGCCCTTGCTGTATGCGATAAGTGTACATAGATAACTGTAGTCCCTGCTGTATGGCAGGGGTGCAGTAAAGGAACCACCACGGCTGCTCCATGATTAAGGGGAAGGTTTTGACTATAGGTAAGAGATAACATGCAGAGGCATTTGGAAAGAATCCAGAACAGAAACAGACTGGACATGCCCAGGTCTGTCTTGGAGAGAAGGGAGAAGAGGAAGACAGTGGGAGAGAAAAGTGGATATGGCAAGATAGTGGTGGTGGGGGGAGCTAGTTAGAGAACAAAGGGGTATCTGGGAGTGGGGCAAGCCTGGGAAAGCAAGAGAAGGGCCAGAATGCTAGCTAGCATGAGGCCTTTGAAATGTATAAAGGGTACCTAGAATAGGGGCTGTGAGAGCATGGAGGCCAGCATGGGCTTTGATAAGCAGTCACAGGCATGTCAGTGGAGAGCCTTAAATCCCTTCTACCCGAGGCAAGGGAAATCAGTCCTTTTTGCTAGTTCTTGTTTATCACCAGCAATCCTTCTACAGTTCAGACTGAATTGGGAGAGGACTGTCATTTCTGGGTATATGAACTGCCTGAGACCTAACACCCATCCACCCCTCATCAAGGAAACTCTTTGTAGCAGATGGAGACCATCACAGACAACCACAACCAATCAAAATGCGGAGTTGTGGAGTCCAATCGCAACTGATCTACAAAGCACTCCTATACCCAAGGCTCAGGGAACATGGCCGAAGAAGGCAAGGAAAGATTGTAAGAGTCAGAGGATCAGAGGGTTGGCTGTGAGACTGTCTCCCAGTAATGTGAGCAGCTGCACCCATAAAGTCTCACCATCATGACTGCCTAAACACCAGCTGAACATGGAAGACGCAAAGAATTAGAGGTGGGGAAACGTTCTGTGTCAGGAGGAGTTCACAGGGAGACTGGAAGACAGCAAGGGAGAAGTGCCATCATCAGGCTCGACTCTGGCAGAGCTTTGGGAATGATCAGACAGAGGACTTAAAGTGGCCCTGATGTTGATACAAAGGGGCTAGGAGTTTATTCAGGAGTCATTTCTGAGTGACCTTGGCTCAGGAACACCAGTTTTGGTTGCTTCAAATACCATATTTCAGTGTGGAAGCAGTTTGATAAAATATAGTAGCAGAACAAAGAAACTAATCAGTCAATACATTTTCAAATACATTGGTGCACACAGGTGGGCGGATTAATGAAAGAGGGGAAATCTCTGCTACAGGCCTCAGATGCTACCTGATGACACTCTCAAGCCTTTTGCTTGGTTGGAAAACCAGTGTTTCTGTTTGCATTTTCCAAATGCAACAGCACAAAGACATGTGTAGAGGAGGGCAGTACATGGCTACTAACAGGGCTAAAGACGTCCACAAATAACTTGACTGTGACTTTGTAGCATTCCAATGTTGCAGAGCTCCTGGTGAGGGAAATGGAAGGTTTTTTTTTGTTTGTTTGTTTTTTTTTTTTTTTCTAGGAAGCAGGTTATTGTGTATGCACAAAGGTGTGGGAGCCCATTTTCAGATTCCTGGTGGCTTTACCCAGCAGGTCTGCATAGCAGGTCTGCAAAAAGAGGATGATTGGACCACAGGCCTGAGTGCAGGTGTCTGAGATGGTCTGAACTTAGCTGTGCTGGGGGGAGGGTTTTTGCTCCACCCCTTGGCGTTTCTATAAATACCATAGGTCAGAGACAGTAAGGGCCCGTTGTAATAGGTTCCAGGCCCTCTCGAGGCTATTCTGTATTTTCTATTTATCTCCACAGTCTAAATCCTTCTATCTAATATTTCCTGCTGCTCTCACTCAAGAAAACTCTGGGGAACTGTGGGGTTGGTGGGGAAACGCCCCACACAAAGGCGCAGTAACTACATTAGTATCCAAAGGTCAAGCTCTGAATGCAATGGGGCTACCTTTTTTCTACAGGTTTGGCTTCTGTGTCTCCATATATGGTAAGGTAGACTCTGATTGGGTATCCTAAATTATCAGGTTATGGTACTAAAGATGTGAAGAGAAGGGGGCTACTTGGGGAGCATGGCAAGGCTCCAGGTAAGCATGGCGGCCAGACCACACACAGTTTTCAGTTCTCTTTTTCTCTGGCCTCTGGAAAACCCCTAACTGCTCCCCCAAACTTGTAGCACTCACTGACATGCTCATCAATCAATCAGCCTTGCAGAGGTTCAACGGGAGGTGTAGCTTATTTTTTACTTTTGTTGACACTAAGATGTCAGACTAGAATGTTCGTTTGTTTATTGCTGTTCGTTTGTTTTTTCAAGACCGGGTTTCTCTGTGTAACAGCACTGGCTGTTCGGGAACTCACTCTGTAGTCCAGGCTAATCTCGAACTCGCCGAGATCTGCCTGGCTCTGCCTCCTGAGTGCTGGGATTAAAAGCGTGCACCATCACTGCCCAGCGCAGCAAGCTCTCTTAACTGCGGAGCCTTAATCTCTTAATTTTGTTTTGCCACTGATTTGGGGGGATGCTCAGGATGAAAGCCAGAGTCTTCCTTACACATGCCAACCTGGTCTACCTGTGAACTCTTACACCACACTTTGAGAAAACTAATTTATATTCTAAAAATGACTATGTGAAGTTGCAGGAAAAAGCCAGAATAAAATAACTGATAATATTTTGGGCCACTAGTTATGAGCTAGAACTAAAAGTTATCCAAATATTCTATTACTTAATCTCTGTAACATCCCAGAAGAATATTTTTGCATGACACAGGGGAGGGGCAGACAGAAGCCACTTGAGGCTTGATAGCTGAGTGGAGCAGCCTAGAGCCTGGACTAGACCCTCCCATACATGACCAAGCTGGTGGACAAAGTAGACTTTCAACAGCAAGTGGTTTCGGGAAAAACTGCATCTATATAGACAACGAGACGGATTTTAATCCATACCTTGCACCATTTATGAAAATTATCTCAATGAGGAGGATCATGGGGTTAATCTAAAATTATAAAATATATAAAACAAATTAAGCCGGGCAATGGTGGCTCACACCTTTAATCCCAGCACTTGGGGGTGGGGGAATACTCTTGATCTTAGATTTAAAAGACTTTTCATTCATCCTTTTCTTTTTTATTTCTTTTAGTTTTTGTTTTTCATTTTTTGAGACAGGGTCTATATAAACCTGACTCTCCTGGAACTATGTAGACCAGGCTGGTCTTGAACTCGAGGTGTGTGTTACCACACCCAACTATACTTATTTTTAGAGATACTCTTGCTCTATCGTTTGGGCCTACCTTCACACTCACGTTAGATTTTTTTTTTTTTTTATGTAAGAAATAACATCCTTTTAATATTTGATTTATCTACTTCATTTTCACAGTCACTTAACTTACTCCATAAAGAAGGTGAGAAGACTTCTGCCTCAAGATCCTTCTGGAAAAGGTTAGGGCTGAAAGCGTGTCCTAGTATGATTAAGCAAGCCTCCCTTGAGGCTTACAGAATGACTTGGGAGCTGGGTGGCAGTGGCGGCGGCGGCAGCAGCAGCAGCAGCAGCAGCAGCAGCAGCAGCAGCAGCAGCAGTGGTGGCGCACGCCTTTCATCCCAGCACTCCCGGAGGCAGCGCCAGGCGGATCTCTGTGAGTTGGAGGCCCGCCTGGGCTACAGAGTGAGTTCTAGAAAAGGCGCAAAGCTACACAGAGAAACCCTGTCTCAAAACAAAACAAAACAACAGAATGACTTTGGTATGTAGGGTCATTTTCTGGATACCTCTTAGGAGCTTTCAAGTCAATTTAAGGTTTAGAGGTGTGGACTAACTCCTTTGGCCTAGAATTTTTGCGTGAGAAAAAACGAGAAGGGGCCACTACTTGGGCTGATCTTTCTCTCTGGACTTCTGTGAGTCCTCCTGGCCCACCTGCCCACTCTTATCTCTTCAGTGCAGGTCAGATGAGGAACCTGCACCTGTCTTCTGGGATGCCATAGATGTGATATGGTCCAGAACAGACTTTGCACTAGGCTTTTTCCAGATGCCAGAGCCCTCAAGTAGAAATGTTCTCTCGGCAGCTCTCCAAACATCTGGAAGTTCATGTTTCCTGTCAGTGTTCAATTACGGCCTTTTTTGCCACACTCTTGGGGGGTCTAGAGAGATGGCTCAGTAGCAGTGTTGTGTTTTCCTCTTCAGAGGACCAGAGTTCCGTTCTCAGCACCCATGTGAGGCAGCTCACGCCTGCCTGGAACTTCAGCTCCAGAGGATCTGGTACCCCTGGCCTCCTCACTCACACAGATAAACACATGTACACATGATTAAAAATGAAATCTTCAAAACAAAGCCTCAGGGTTCAGGGGTGGGTGTGTAGATAAGTCCTTTTATGAACCGGTGCACCTTCAAGTCGCCCTTGCCACTCTGGTCCAAGGCTGTTTTTCCAGCATTTCCTAAAGGATATAAAGTTCACCTCAACAGAGTTGTCCAGTAGAAGTGTAATAGGAGCCAATGTGTAAATGAAAATTTCTAGTACCACATTTAAAAAATTGCAATGAGCCAGGTAGTGTTGGTACATGCTTTTAATCCCAGCACTTGGGAGCCAAAGAGGCAAATGGACCTCTAAATTTGATGTATCTCAGCCTGGTCTACAGAGTGAGTTCCAGGATAGCTAAGGCTACACAAAGAAACCCTGTCTCAAAAAACAAAAGTACAGTGAAAGCTTCCCATGGTGGCTCATGCCTATAACCCCAGCCGTTGGAAGGCTACAGTAGAAGACCCACCACCAGTTTTGAGGCTAGTCTGGGCCACAAACTGAGAATCCATCTTGAAATAAAAACAAACAGCTGAAATAATACGTTTTATTTAAGATTATACATCCAAAATATCATCCTCGTAAGTCAGTTGTGAGATTATTTCACATTGCTTTCATGGAAGTCCAGGGTGAGGTTACACTATTACAGTCCATCTGAGGGCACTGAAAAGCCCTTGGCTGCAGCGTCAGCTGCCAAGCTGTCTCCCTGACATCCATTTCTACCCTCACATCTATAACTTTTTCACAGCTGAGTAGGAAAGCTTGTAGCACCTCTTTAACGAAGTCACAGCAGCTCACCCATCTGAAATTTGAACCTGAGCATAAGTAGATGTTCTGGGGGTGAGATGAAGAGGCAGTATAAGATGTAAACCTAGTTACTCGGGATGCCGAGGCGAGCTTAAAGTCAGCCGGCCCTTGAGTGCAATCAAGGCCAGCCTGGGTGACTTGGTAAGACCCTGTGTCAAAAGAAAACAATAATAACAAAAAGCCAAACACACAAACTGGGGTTGTCAAGCTTGGTGCTAGAATGCCAGCCTGACATGAAAAGCCCTGAGTTCAGTTCCGAGCTCTACAGCAGAAAGGAGAGGGCCTGAAGGAGGTCAGAATACATCGCTCTGTGAAGTGGCTGACTGCTTTTCTTCCTCTTCTGAGATGCATTGGTTGATCATCATTTTCTCCATCTCAAGCGCATTTTCTGATTTGATTACTATTAAAATCTTAAGATGAGGCTGAAGGTTGAGGTAGCATTTATTTACTGTGAAAACCAAAACTATAATCTCTTCTTGAAGCCATCAAAACTATAGTGGTCAGTGGATTTTTATTATTATTGTTTTTAAATCAATGGTCGGTTTGTTTTTTTCCATTGCTATTTATCAATGGTCAGTTTGGTTTAAGCACTCAATCCCATATATACATATATAATCGCCTTGCCCATTATTACATTTTGTATAACGTGCCAGATATTGCAAGAATGCAAAATTAGAGGCAATTTTGTTTATAAAGATAGGCAAAAACCAAACCTAAGCAATACGTCAGCAAAGATAAATTAAGTATTGAATGTAACACATAATAACCGTTTCCTTAGGAATCAGTAAACAAGAGACTCAACAACAGAGACAACTCAGTGTAGCTGGCCCAGGAGCACAATAAAAGGGTCATATAATTATCCTAATGATTAAAGGAAAAAAAAAAAAAAACCTGCTGAATTCAATATTTAGTACAAAAACTCCTATCTAATTTATAGAGAATTTTTTACATTTGACCACAGACATCAATTAAAAATGTCACGAAATACTATTCTTAGCCAGGTGTTGTGAGATAGACCTATAATCAGTGTTTGGGAGCTGAGGTAGAAGAATTAAGAGCCTGTGGCCAGCCTAGGCTATTTATGGAGACCATATCTCAACACTAAAACAAAACCACAGCCAGGTATGGTGTGTGCTTGTAATCAGGACTTGGGAGGAAGCAGGAAGATCAGTTCAGGGTCATTCTTAATCACAGAGTTCAAGACTAGGCGGGGCTATAGCCCATTTCAAAACAAAACCCTTGGTGGTAATTCCAGCACTAGGGAGGCAGAGATAGGCAGATCTCCCTAAGATGGAGGCTAGCCTGGAATACAGAGCGAGGTGCAGGACAGCCAGGGCTATACAGAGAAACCCTGTCTGAAAAACAAACAACAACAAAAAGGTAACGATTAAATGATTAACAGAGAAATGTTAAAAAGTTTCCCATAAGATCTGTCAAGAGAATTCACTATAAGCAGTGGGAGGTTATCCTACATGAACACAGTGAACGGAGGCTCCCAGAGGAATCGCATGTGTTTCCAGGAACCTGCTCAGCTGTAGGCAGGGGTGTTAGACCTCAAGAGCTTGGGCGACGCAGAGTCATTGGGACTACACAGCTGCAGGGATTGAAATATGGACAAAGGGCAGTAGGAAAGTAATACTTAGAGAAGGTGTAGATGGGCAAGCCATGGTTTGTGACATTATAAAAAGAGACAGTGCCAGCCTCATAGTCTAAGAAAACCCCTACGCGGCGAGGTGGCACTGTCATGGAGAGGAGCAGGGAGGTGGAGGAGTCCTCATAGGCTCTGTACTCATGCTTATGTTGCAACCCAATCACCCAGTATCCGCTCTGGGGCTGATACCTGGAGTGGGCACTCTGCTTGCTGGGATACTGGCTGAAAGAGAACATGGATTCCACCGGGTTAGTGCATACACCCAGGATCCAAGCCGTCTTCTTGGTCACGTCCACCTCCCAGTAGTATTTTCCTGAGGAGAAGTGCTGAGAACCCAGGACACTACAATCAAAATGTTCTTCCAGACAGGAAGACTCGGACAGCTTGGCACCTACAAACCTCACCTGCCTCCGGTTTTTAGACAGGACAAGATTTAAATTAGCCGTCTGTGGATTCAGGGTCACGTCCACTGTAGGAGAAAGGACAACAGCAGCCATGAGAATGGGCACATGGGTCCCATGTCTCTGAGAGGAGAGGACAAGGGAAATGGTGGTGGGGGGGACGACTTAGAATTAGGTGGTGGAGGAGAGGTTTGGACACCTAAGACCCGAGAGAGCATGCAAGTCTGTTGGGGAGAAGCATGTGAAAGGGGTTCAGAGAGGCCATGGATTCTACTCACCCCAGTAGCTTTGGACATCTGTCAACTCTGTAATGAGACAGAAAAACATGTTAAAGGGAGCGGGCAGTCTCAGGGCTGACACCTGGGGAGGCCTGAGAATAGTGGGGAATTCAGAAGGCACGAACTAGTCACTCCATTTCCCCTTAAATAGGTGCTGCATTACCTTCAGCAAACCTGCCCCTCTGTGGCTTCTCTCATAACTGCTATTCTCCAATATCCACTCCACCCCCTGCCCTGTTTCTCCCCACTACAGTAATTCCACATCCAAACTCACCTCTAAAGACTCGCAGCATCCTTTTCAGATCTGGGGCTCGAAACAAACTTTTCAGCTTGGTGGGAAGAGCTTGGGGCTTCCTCAGGGTCCAGAACTCACTCCTAGTGAGGGCACATCTTATGAGAGCTTCTGGGGGCTGACTGTGTCCCCATCCCTCAGACCCACTGATGAACTTCAACACTCTTTCCTGAGGAAAGTCACCATTCTGCGAAGGGCCCTCCACTGGACCGGAAGATGTGGACTAGAAACCAGCTGCTCACTATCTACATACCTTGCTTCAGTAAATGTTAACTTATTAAGGCCTCATTTTGTTTCTTTTGTATCTTAAGTTCTATAAGATACAACGACTTCCCTTTTCTCTCTGTATCCTAAAGAAAGTAGGCAACTGAGAAGAACAGAAAGAATTCCAGTGGCTGCGGAGTCCTTTGCTACAGCTCAAACGGAAACAAAATGTCAGTGCCATACCAGAATGTCCACTAGGAGGCGCTGGAGACGCCCACGTTGATCAGAAACCCCGTTGCTGAGAATAAAGGAACACCTAAAGGATGGGCTTGCTTCAGAAGGGTGTGCGGGCTGAGAATTCACAGCCAGAATCCAGGTACACTGTCTAAGAGGCCTGAAGGTGCTGGATCTGTGGGCAACTTTAGATGTCACCTTGGTGGATGACTTTGTAGATTCAATGCTACTGAAGAGAACTAGTTCTGTCCCAGAGCCAAAGCCATTCTCCTCATGGCTCAGGTCTGCGTTTTCACTAGAATTGACATACAAGGAAATCTAAGCACTAAACAGCAAGACCTGGACTGGAGAGCCGGGGAGAAATGGAAAGTCACAGCTGGCATCTGAAAAGCTAATTCTCAAACCTGGGGCAATACACAGACGGTGATTTCCCTCTAAGACGCACAGCCAAGAACAATGTGTATGGAGGTAGCTGTAACCAGGGCAACCGGCATCAAAGGCAGGGAGAGAGGCTGGTGAAAAAGGAATCCAGTAACAATTCTGTCTCCAGTTCCAGTCCCCTTCCATACCAACTCTATGACCATGGATGCCAGCCTACCAATCCCTTATCTTTGAGATCTCTAGATTCACACGCAATTCAATGTACCAGACGCAATCCTACCCTGCCTGTGACTTTCCCCCTTCCCCACGGGTAATTCTAGAGGGGCAAGTCCAAGAGAATTAACTTATATTCTCACATACCTTTTTGTGACATCACTCACATCCTAGGGAGGAAAAGGACAAATTAAGTGAAGGATTACCACCTGGTGTAATGACTAACCCCCCTCCCAAAATAACAACAACAAAACCAAAACCAGTCCAGTTGATACAAAGTACAGATGAGAACTCAGAGGAAGCCAGATACCACATGCATGGTGCATGCCTGTGACCCTAGCACTTAAGAGCTTGAGGCACAAGTACCCGCGTTTGAGGCTAGCCTGGGTTACATCTCAACAGTCCGTCTCAAAACAACACACACAAAAATAAAAACCCCATCTCAGAGCAGAGTTCCTGGGGACCCATGTACAAATTTCGATAAGTTCCTTTATTTTTTTGAGTTTTGTCTTTTGGCAATGCCCAGGATCAAAACCAGGGCTTCATGGATGTTAGCTCATGCCCTAGCACTGCGCTCTCGCCTCATCCCTGTGGTTGAAATGTTATGCACATGTATTGCCTGTTATTTGCCTCACAGCACCTGACCTTGCCGAGTGATGATAGACTAACATCCACCCTTGAGATAGTCACAGGTTTTATTTTTGTTTGTTTGTTGTTTTTGGAGACACAGTTTCTCTGTGTAGCCCTGGCTGTCCTACAACTCAGTCTGTAGATCAGGCTGGCCTTGAATTCAGAGATCGCCTATCTCTGCCTCCTCACTGCTGGGACTAAAGGGATGTGCCACTGCCGTCTGGCTTTGAGACAGCCATAGGTTTTATTTTATTTTATTTATTTATTTAGGTTTTTCAAGACAGGGTTTCTCTGTGTAGTTTTTTTTTTTTTTTGATGCCTGTCCTGGATCTCGCTCTGTAGACCAGGCCTCGAACTCACAGAGATCCACCTGCCTCTGCCTCCCATGTGCTGGGATTAAAGGCGTACACCATCACTACCCAGCTATTTTATTTTATTTTTTAAAGATTGATTTGATTTATTTATTATGTACACAGTGTTCTGCCTGCAAATATGCCTACAGGCCAGAAGAGGGCACTAGATCTTATTGTAGATGGTTGTGAGCCAACATGTGGCTGCTGGGAATTGAACTCAGGACCTCTTGTAGAGCAGCCAGGGCTCTTAACCTGAGCCATGTCTCCAGGCCCAGCCATAGGTTTTAAATGTGGCTCTCTCTAAAACTTCATCCCTTAGATGATGTGCATGCACTCACACATAGGCCCAACTCCAAATACCTGTTATGTATCTGTTACTATCAGGGAATTCTACTGAAGAAAAAGCAGGGGTTAGACAGACCTCCCCCGGGGACACAGGGCAACGTTAAAGGGCTCTGGAATGCCATGTCTGGGGTGGTACTGTTGAATTCTGGTGGGAAGGGGCCAAGAATGCTGCGAAGTTCCCTACAATGTACAGAAGAGTCCTTAAAAGCTAAGGTTTATCTGTTATTAGAGCAGTCAGTTTGAGCCGGCCGGTGGTGGCACACACCTTTAATTCCAGCACTCGGGAGGCAGAGGCAGGCAGATCTCTGTGAGTTCCAGTCCAGCTTGGGCTACCAAGTGAGTTCCAGGAAAGGCGCAAAGCTACACAGAGAAACCCTGTCTCGAACCCCCCCCCCCCCCCCCCCCCACACACAAAATAAAAAGAACAGCCAGTTGTCCTGAGATTGGTAAAGCCTCCTGGAGAGCATTGAGGGATACAATAGGACTTCACAATTCCAGATAAACTTCTGGGCTACTCTTTACTAGTAATAAGTAACTCTACAGGGCTTCCCTTAGCATTTGCATCTGAACTGTTTCAGACTTTAGCAGGTGGCCTCCTCGAAGTTCAAAACAAAAGAGGTAACAGAAAGACAAAGGAATACTTTTTCTCAGAGCTGAGGATTGAACCCAGGGCCTTGTGCTCTAACACTGAGCTAAATCCCCAACCCTTTTTTTCCTTCTCATTTCCATCATGATGTTAGTCCTAGTGCCACACGAGATGGGAAATGGTTTTCTCTTTTCCTCGATTCCCAAATCTGGGGGTCCTGCCCGAGTCTCACCTGCAGCAGCTCCACTGCAGACCCCTGGCACCGGTGCTCCAGGTCTGAGATGAGATCTTTCAGTGACTGGCTCTGGTGGATCAGGTCCCCCTCAGCCTTCTCGATGATGCTCAGCCCCTTCCTCTCTTCCAATTCCAGTTTCTTCAGTTCCCTCTGCTCCTCCCTGTCCAGGATGCTCCGCAGCTGCTTAAATTCAGTCTGGATCCGGTGTCTCTCAGGCTCCACCTGATTCTTTAACACCAGGAAAGAAAAACAGGCTGCTGGCTGCAGGCCCAAGGGTTCTCCCCCGGGGGAGAGGAGGGGCAGGAAACAGGCCACACACTGCTTTCCTGGGCCTGCTGGTCTGAGAGTGGAGGGACACAGGCCTGTAGGGCCTGTTCTCAGGCCCTCAGCCTCAGGCTGCCTTATCTAGAGTTTGGAGGCACAATACTGTGATTCTTGGGTGAGTTTAGACTCCAGGAAGCTCGTGTAGCCTCTTAGGCTTCTAGGTCAGCCTTAGCTCCCAATTTTGAGCCCTGAGAGGAATTACTGGCTCACAATTAACCTACCATTTCCAGGAAGTTAGGGTGGAAATAAGATTCAGAATTCTTTCTTTTTTAGGTTTTTTTTTTTTTTTTTTTTTTTTTTTTTTTTTTTTTTTTGAGACAGGGTCTTACTATGCAGCTCTGGAGGGTGTGATACTCGCTCTGTAGACCATAGCCACCTGACTGTCCTCGTCTTCCAAGTGCTACAATTAAAGGAGTGTACCACCTTGCTTGGGAAGCCATTCCTTCTCATATAATTGCCTTAAGAACCTGGGAGGAGCTGGAGAGATGGCTCAGGTGTTAAGAGCACTTCCTGCTCTTTCAGAGGACCTGGGTTTAATTCCCAGTACCTAATGGTGGCCTACAGCTGTCTCTTTAAATCCAGTTCCCTCTTCTGGCTTCCTTAGGCACCAGGCATACATGTGGTATACAATAATATATTCAGGTGAAACACCCCACACACATAAAACAAAACAATGAAATAAAATTCAAATTAAAAAACAGCTGGGCGGTGGTGGCGCACGCCTTTAATCCCAGCACTCGGGAGGCAGAGCCAGGCGGATCTCTGTGAGTTCAAGGCCAGCCTGGACTACCAAGTGAGAGTCCCAGGAAAGGCACAAAGCTACAGAGAAACCCTGTCTCGAAAAACCAAAAAATAAAAATAAATAAAAAATAAAAATAAAAAACAAAGCAAATAAAAAACAATACAAAAACCAAAAGAGAACTGGACTGACTTTTGACGTGTTTGTTACCTAACTTCCACCTCAGTTTTCCGGCACAAGGAAAAGGGCCAGACCAGGGGAAGTTCTATGCAGAAGCAGGAGACACTGGGCAGGGAAGCCCTGGGTCCTCGGCTCCCAGGGTCACCTTCCGCTGTTGTCCCAGATCACTTTCAGGAGACTCCTACTTGCCTTCCAGGGATTCCCTCTTCTCTTGGGGATAAGAGCTTTTAGCCTCTCAGCTTCATGCTGCTCCTTCCTCAGCTTCTTCAGAGACTCCTGGAACATCTCCTGGAAGGAATAGACCAGATAGAGAGGGTCCAGCCTCAAACCGTCTTAGTACGTACACACAGAATGAACTAGGATTCGCCGACCTCAGGCTTCGAAGTGCCTTCTCTACACTGGAATGCAAACAGATTGACTAGAGAAGCAGGCAAGCAAGAAGACGAGAAAGTCTCTGCTATTGATCAGGGAGCCACCTTCTAGTTCAACCTCTAACTAAACAAGAGTTCTAGAAGGAAATTTGGGCTTCAGGTATAGTTCAGTTGGTACAGTGTTTGCCCTAGCACCCGAGAAACACTGGACACTTGTAATCACAGAACTCTGCAAATGATGGCAGTAGGACCAGAAGTTCAAGGTCATCTTTAGCTACGCAATCACTTTGAGGCAATACTGGACTACTTGGGACTTTGTCTCAAATAAGAAAACAAACCAAACCAAAACTACAAAACAATTAGATGAGAACACGAAGTAAGGTCAAGCCGTGGTCCTGTTCCCACCTGGTACTCCTGGGCCACCTCCTCCATGAGGAACGTGTGATGACCATGGTGCTCCTGAGATCGCTCACAAAGCCAGCAAATTAACTTCCCATCCTCCTTGCAGAAAAGCTGGAGTTTCTCTCCATGAACCGCACAAAGAATGACCTCCAGCTGCATTCTCCCCGGGGCCAAAACGACCTCTCTGAGCCTCTTCACTATGATGGCCAGGTGTCGATTAGGCCGGAGGTTCCCAGGCTGGTAGGCGGTCCGGCACACAGGACAGCTGCTCTTCCCTTCTGGGTTGAACACTAACTTGTCACTGTTTGCTGTGATGCAGGCCTGGCAGAAGCTGTGACCGCAGCAATCTATGCTCAGGGGTTCTGTCAGGAGCTCCAAGCAGATAGGGCAAGTGACCTCATCCCGGATGTCCACCAGAACAGCTGAAGTCATTGTAGCCACTCTCTCGGCTCCTACCTGCCCAGCTCTGACTGGTAGGAACCGTTCTTGTTTGTGGAATCCTAGGTAGAAAGCAGATGAAAAAAGCACAGGCTAAGAAAGGAGAGAGAAAAGGAACGGCACTATGCACGCTGAGTAGAGACGCCAGACACATGGGGTAACAAAGGCCTCTCCGTCCAGTTCCAACACGTTACCCTCAGCTCTCATCCAACACCAACTTCCCCTCTTATTACAACACTTACTGTGTCCTTTACCTCCTATTGGGTAGAAAGATAAACAGGGACACTGGAGAGGCCTTAGAGTTGCCCACCCAAGCATGGTTTTCAGTGTTAAAAAATAATAAACACACGACCGTTGCCAGGACTTTTGGATTTGCTGTTCCTGTTGCAAGGGGACCCTTCCTTCTGGCATCTGCACCAATGACTTCTCCCATGTTGTCTTATCAGAAGGCAAGCTCTCACTAGCATCTTATCTTCACCTGCGTTATCTTTGATGGTCTGACTCCTCCCACAGAAATGTTAAGCTCCCAGAGACCACAGCCGTTCATTTTTTGTTCATGGTTGTACCCACAGAAGCTAGCATAGGATCTGGGTGAATGAAAAGCCAGAACTCCCCTTTAGTGGGTGAATCGATCCTTTCCCATGAGCCTTTTCACCTTGTGGATATCATTCCTCTATGCCTGGTCTCCAGGATCATGGTATCTAAGCTTGTAGACACTGCTTCTTCTGCTTCCACTCAGGCCTCTTGCTCAGCTACTTCCCCCAAAACCCAAAACAGTCAGGAATGGCCACAACCAGGGAGAGGCAATAGGTTTTACAACTAACACGCCCCTCCCCTCCTTAATGTGTATGGGTGTTCTGCCTGAATGTATGTCTGTGCATCATGTGCATGCCTGGTGCCCAAAGAGGCTAGAAGAAGGCATTGGATCTACGGGAAATGGAGTTAGAGACAGTTTGACTGTCATGTGAGTGCTGGAAATCAAATCTTAGTCCTCTCCAAAAAAAAAAAAAAAAAAAAAAAAAAAATGTCACTTTCGTTTCAGGCAAAACCATTTGCAATCCACTACTCTCTTGAGAAAGTTTCTACTGCATGAGAGAATCTATGAGAATACTAACTGGCAAAGGACCAAATTGTACTCTACTTACAATGACAGTAATATATATTGTCAAAAGACAAAATCACAGGAGTTGGAGGGAAAGCTCAATGGTTAAGTGCACTGACTGCTCTTCCAGAGAACCAGGGTTCAATTCTCAGCACCCACATGGCTACTCATAATTGTCTGTAACTTCAGTTCCAGGGGATCTGACACCCTCCTCTGGCCTGTGAGGGCACCAGGCACACGAGTGGAGCACAGACGTACATGCAGGCAAAACACTCATACACACAAAACTAATTAATTAGAGCTGGGCGGTGGTGGCGCACGCCTTTAATCCCACCACTCAGGAAGCAGAGCCAGGTGGATCTCTGTGAGTTCGAGGCCAGCTGGTCTACAGAGCTAGTTCCAGGATAGCTAGAGCTGTTACACAAAGAAACCCTGTCTCGGAAACCGACAACCCAACCCCCCCCCCCCCCCCCCCCCCCCCCCCCCCGCAGAAAAACCAAACCAAAAAACCCCACCAAAACCAAAAAAGAAAAAAATAATAAAAATAATGTGGCAGGGGGGTGGGTGGGGATCATTTCGATAATACAGTTTGGTGCCTGATCTAAGCATAACTTACCTGGAACTGATCTCACAGCACTCAATGGACATAAAACACCGGAAAAATAATTAGTTTGAAGCATTTCTGAATTTACCTTCAAAGAGTCATTTGCTTACGCATTTAAAAAATTATTAACAACAGAAGTTCCTAAAATACTAACCTCCACAGGTTTTTCTTTTCTTCTACTTAGTGCTAAATAATCCAGTACATTTTTAAAGGGTAGAATATAATCTCTGCATATTTATTAAATTTGTGGTAACTCACTTGTAATTCCTAATGTTAAAATGTCATATTTTACCTTGTTTAGACATTAACAAGTAGAGGTCATATCCATATTGTAAAAATATACTGTAAAGCATATTTAACACTTTTTTTTTTAACCCCTTTTTCTTATTTTCTTTTTGAGACCTCGGTCTTACGTACGTCCCAGGCCAGTCAGCAACTCACTATGTAACTGAGGATGACCTTGAACTTTGGATCCCCCGTCTCCACATCCCAAGTGCTGGTATTATAGGTGTACACCTTGTCCCCCCAATCCCCACATATCCCACAGCATCACCCCCTGCTCATCTATCTATCTTTGGTGCTGGGGATCCAACCCAGGGCTTTGTGCACGCCAGGCAAGCACCCTACCAATTGAGCCCCCCCCCCCAACTTCTTAGCATATTTTTTCCAAAACTTTTGATTTCGCATTTTTTAAAGTTAGGCCTGGAGTTTGTCAATAAGTAACTTCGTGTGAGAATTTACCACACCAGGTAGTTTGCTATGTATTTAGAACTCTGCTCCAGTTAACTGTCACCCAAACTCTAGGATCCACACATTGTATTGCTCTGCTCATGCTATATATCAAAAGTGTTAAAACTCAAAAGCTAAGTAACAGGCTTAGGGTACACAGTGTCCATGTGTCAGTTCCTCGAGAATAGCTGTAACACCTACTCTTTTTTTTTTTTTTTTTGGTTTTTCGAGACAGGGTTTCTCTGTGTAGCTTTGCGCCTTTCCTGGAACTCACTTGGGTAGCCCAAGCTGGACTCGAACTCACAGAGATCCGCCTGGCTCTGCCTCCCGAGTGCTGGGATTAAAGGCGTGCGCCACCAACTCCCGGCTAACACCTATTCTCTTAAGTATGCATTTCTCTCAGCTGACCGATGAAATAAATGTCACTGCTGCGCTGGTAGCTCAGGCCTGTAATCGTGGCACTAGGTAGGGAAGCGGAGCGGAAGCAGGAGGATGGTTAGTTACAGGGCAGCTTGGGTTACAACTTGAAAAAAAAATTACAATTAGAGTCGATAAATTGTTACACACATGCTTATATAATACGTAAATACAATGGTCCCAATCTCAGCGTACTCATTCACAATAAAATACAAATGATCACCTCACTGTCCCCGACCCGCCTCAGCCAGAGGTGACGCAGGAAAGTCATCTCCTGCGTCACCTCTGGCTGTAGGCATCCCCAGAGAAGGTCCACATATGAAGGTTATCTTGTGAGCAAACTTCTTCAGAGCACACCCGGAGGCCTTTAATTAATTCTGAGGGCCAGAGGGCCTCGCTTAGGTCTTTTCCCAACTCCGCCCAGCTTGCCTCGGCTTCCTCAGGAGAGGCCCCCACGGCTCCTAACTTGGACTGGCTGCAGCCGGTGCAGACAGGGGCGGGGCAGGCCGAGTGGCTCATCTCCCAACTCTTTCTGGAAGAAGTGACCGGGCCCGCTGAGGAGGGGATAAACCTACTTCCTGGAGCAGCCTGGCTGGAGCTGGGGGAGGGGATGGTTGACCTCTGAATCCACGCGGGACCCCAAACGGGAAACTTTCAGAGTAGCGTGCTTTCGCCCCCAGAATCCAGGTTCAACGCCCCTTCTCCCCCTTACATAGCCTATTCCCAGCGGCAAACGTGCCTCTTCCATGCTTCCCAAACTCAAAAGCTGCAGTCCCCGCACGTTTCCTCCACGCTTGAATCCCAACACAATCTGTAAGGTGGCGAAGACTCTCGAAACCAGTGGGACAGCAGCGACTGGTCAGAAAATGGGTTTGTTCACCAACCTGTAATCCGTGGCCAAGATCAATGCCGAGGACTCGCAGGCAGGACTGTTCCCAGCAGCACTGGAGCCCGACTCCAGGCGAAAGGGGGCGGGGGCTGGTGGAGGAGGCGGGGCTGGCGGAGGAGGCGGGGCTGCCTCTGGACTGACTGGGACGGTCAGTGACCAAGCCCCGGGCCGAAATGCGAAGACATCCCTAGAAAAGTATAGGGAACAGCAAGTGTTGATGCCTATGAGAACACTATCATTTGAGACTTAAGCTTTCGGCTATCATGTAAGTGTTTAATACACCTGCTCTCGCTATCAATATATTAAAATGTCTAAAGAATAAAAGGTTCAGCCATATAATTAAATGGTGACTGCATTGGACGGATGATTAAAATCTATCAACTTTAAATTAAAACGTGTGTGTGTGTGTGTGTGTGTGTGTGTGTGTGTGTGTACACAGACCTGTGCGCATCCGTAACACATAACGTACGGAACCAAAAGACCATTTACCTTTTTAATTTAAGTTTTATTATATACGTTACATATACAAAACTTACGGCATTTAGGAACTGGCCTATAGATTTTGTTAAAGGCGGGGAGGGCAACTCTGAAACGCAAAAGATTGACAAACTTCCGGTCCTAGGAGATTAACAACCCTACCTAGAATCACCTGACCTTAGAGGGTGGGGGTGGGGGAAAGACTGGAGGAGGAGCTAGGGATGTGGCTCAGTTGGTGGAATGCTTGCCTAGCAAGCGGAAGTGTGTAAACTGGGCTTCCTGGCTCGCACTTGTAATTCAGCAGTAGGGAGGCTGAATCAGGAGGATCACTGTAAGTTTAAAACTAGCCTGGGCTACAGAGTGATTTGGCCCCAAAAAACTAAAAAACAAGACAAAAGGCCAATCCAGGAATATATGCTTGGTGTGAGGAGTGGGAAAGTATGGTCCAAGTTTTGTTTTTTTTTAGACAGGATTTCTCTGTATATAGCCCTAGCTGTCCTGGAACTCACTATGTAGACCAGGCTGACCTCAAACTCAGAGATCTGCCTGCCTCTGCCTGAGAAGTACTGGGATTAAAGGCATGTGCCGCCACTGCCTGTCTCCAAGCACTTTTAAGAATCATAGAAAAATGAAACAGAGAAGACAGGGCATTGAATGTCTAACATACATGGGTCAATATTTGTTTTTGAGAAAGGGTGATGATATATATATGTACACACACACACACACACACACACACATCCTAGGCTGGCTTTGAACTTGCTATGTGGTTGAGGACGATCTCATACTCCTTATCATTCAGTTTCTGCTTTTGTAGTGCTGGTATTGGAAGAATGCATT